ACAGGGTCTGCACCGACACTAGTATCATCGGCGCTAGTGGCCATCTAATTTAATTCAAACTCTCTGTCAAATGGCGCCGTTGAAGCCCAGTCTGGAGCCGTCGGCACGAAACAATTTTTTAAAATCTCTATTTTGATTCTAAATTTCATCATTTTTACTTCTTTTTTTGCTCCAAGTCCTAAAAATCAACAATATACAATAAAATATGAAATGTACATTCATTTAAAGTGCAATATCACAAAAAATGAGTATAAAAAATGAGTATAAAAATGTATATATTTTTTGTGTATCAGATATTTGGGGCTTAATAAAAAGTTTTATATTACTTGATAATGATACATATACTTGCGTAGTATCTCATATTTAAATATTATAATTTTATTCTTATTTGCTTCGAAGTCAAGATTTACCTAGATTTTGCCTGGGATCAAGTTTTTTGCATCGTTGCAAAGTAAAAATTATAAATAAGAAAATTAAGAATATATTGGCATACATCTCGTCAACATATATAAAGAAAACTATGATCAAGTTTTTTGCGCCGTTGCCGGGGAGAATTGCAAAAATTGCAAAATTTTTAAAGAACTTTTAGAAAACAAATTTCCATTTTTATAAAAGTCTTAATTAAACTTTTTAGATTTATTATAGGAATATTGTAGAGTTGCTTTTTATATAAAGTTATTGTTTGTGTGTTTTTATTTTATGAATATCAAACCTTATTATAAAATTTCTAAACCATTACATTTATTCACACGAGCCGCCGAATATAAATTGAGACAAGTTTTGGTAAATTTAAGAGGTATAAATATTCATGTAATTGCGGGTTGGGTCATTAGCATGAATAAAGGATCACCATCCAATGCAGTTGTTGCTATAATTTTGCCAATGAAAATGAAGGGAACCCCACCAAAGATTATGAGGCACGATGAAGTAGATCCAATACCATCAACAATAAAGAGGATGATCAAGAGAACGATGTCTTAGGAGTTAAATGTGTAAATACATAGGGATTGAGTAGTAGGTATGCAAATCCTCTTAGTGTTCTCACATCTTCACCATGATATCAGTTGTGGAGGTGCTTAAATTTATGTGGGAACTTTCAAAGTGTGGCGCTTTATATGGATCATTGAGCAGTGCTATAAGTGGGAGATGATGGGGGTAATAGCGGTGTTGAGAAAGGCACCTAAGTATGTGTGATAGTAGACTAGTGTTGCATCACACTCTTTGAACTCAAAAATATGTATAAAAATGTGTCTTAAAATACTATATATTTTAGGTGTATCAACATCTACATCTACGGTGATTCACAATTGATTATGTAGCAAATTGTCAGACATTACAAGATGCTGAAGTTGAAACTAGAATCTGGAACAATATTTTCATTATGCAATGAAGTTATTGGAACAAATCTCCAACGCAACGTTGTATAGGATTTCAAGAAGGGATAAAACCCATGTCAACGTTTTAGCTAAGCTTGCTAAAGAGTTTGCATGCCCACATGAAGATTTCATCAACATAACAATACAAGGATGTCAAGTTTTGTCACAAATTGTCACATACACCCTGCATAAATTGATGAGTGAAGTGATGATAACAGTAGTTGCCAAAGACACAGAGGATTGGCGCCAAGCACTCGTCAAGTACTTGCAAACTAAAAAACTGTCGGAAGACAAATTAACAACGCACAAGATAAAGAAGAGAGAGTTGACATATGCCCTGGTGGACAATGTCTTGTTCAAAATATCCTTCGAATATATGTGGCTGAGATGCTTGAGCAAGTCGAAAGCACATGAGATCATCAAGGAGGTACATGCAGAATTGTGTGGTGCCCATCAGTCAGACCCAAAAATGAAGATGAAGAACAAAAGATTAGGGTATTACTGGCTAGTAATGATGACCAACTGCATGAACACTGCCAAAAGTTTTCACCAGTGTCAATATACGGAGTGGTCATACATCAACCTCTAGATGCGTTGCATCCGACAATCACATCGCGATGATTTGAGTGTTGGGGGCACAAATATAGTGGGTCCTATAGACCCTCCATCTTCAAAGGGACACCAGTTCATTCTCACAACCATGAATTAATTCTCAAAATGGGCAGAGACAGTGCCATTGAGGGAGGTTAAAGCGCATTATGTTCTTCAATTTTTTAAAATTCAAATTGTATACCATTTTGGTGTTCCACAAAGAACCCTCAATGATAATAGCTCAGCTTTCAAAAGCACGAAGATTAACAAATTTTTCATACGACACGTGATGAACTGGAGTAAGATAGTTTATCCTAAGTACTGATTCCTTTATATATATATATATATATAAATAAAAAAAAACTGTTATTGATCTTGTTCTGCTTGAATTTCGGCACGCTAATATTTTTTCATGTTTTATGTAGGAAAAGTTTAACAAGAGGTTGATCTTCTCTTTAAAAAACGACATAAATCTCTCACTTGACGCGGAGAGAGTGCCACGGGGAGCCATCATTGACTTCAACCTGGACTTCGAGTAGGCCAAAATGAAATATGAGGGGCCCCTGTTGATTGCGGTCATCCAGGAAGAGGTAAATGGTTTGAAGTCTGTGCTCATATTTCAAAGCAATATAGAGGATACATTTGTGAAGAAGAGGAAATTAACAAAGATTAAAAAGGATGTTATACCAAAAGCAACCCAACAAATATAGCTTTGGGTTATGACGGCAGACGATGAACTCATTAGTGCCTCATTGAGGGAGTCTCTAAGTGCTTCCTCAGAAAGAAAAAAGCCCTTGATACACACACAATACAAAAACCTTAATCGCCACATGCACAAAATTCTTGATCTGTTGGAAAGGAGATGGGCAGGAGATTCAGCTTCAGAGCATGTCCGAGTCGCTCAAGAAAAAGAAATGCTTGAGTAGTCAGTTTGGGACGTTCTACCCCAGTTTGCAATAAGACAGTTAGAACTGTATTCCTCCAAGGGTCATGCCCTTTTAGAATACACGTCAGTCGAACCATGTACAAAATGTGCGGAGAAATGTTGCCCTAGTAGTGCAGATGAGTGAGGAGCACCTGGATGTTGAGTCATTTATTCCACAGTTTTTTAAGCCAATGTAACTATGAATTATTTTTGAAAAATGAGTTGGAGAGGTTTTGAAGGATCAAGAAATAAAACTTTAAACATTTTGAGAGTAAGGGATAAATGCCAATTTAGAAGGATTTGAGTTGCACGCTAACATCTTTTTTGAACATCAACAAAGGAAATAGTTGACCGTGTCTTTGATTTGAGAGATAGAGGTTGGGAGGACTGTTCAAAGAAAATAACATATTCAAAGCCCCATAAATAGATGAGGGGCGAAGAAAGGATCACCATCCAATGCAGTTGTTGCTATAATTTTGCCAATGAAAATGAAGGGAACCCCACCAAAGATTATGAGGCACGATGAAGTAGATCCAATACCATCAACAATAAAGAGGATGATCAAGAGAACGATGTCTTAGGAGTTAAATGTGTAAATACATAGGGATTGAGTAGTAGGTATGCAAATCCTCTTAGTGTTCTCACATCTTCACCATGATATCAGTTGTGGAGGTGCTTAAATTTATGTGGGAACTTTCAAAGTGTGGCGCTTTATATGGATCATTGAGCAGTGCTATAAGTGGGAGGTGATGGGGGTAATAACGGTGATGAGAAAGGCGCCTAAGTATGTGTGATAGTAGACTAGTGTTGTATCACACTCTTTGAACCCGAAACCATCACAGTAAGGAGGTCGGAGTTAGTTGCTGGGAAGCAAAACGAGGCAACCAAGAGGATGCAAGCAAACGAAGGATAACTTCAAATGGTGATCAAGAAAAAAAGTGAAGCGAATGACAATCCTCAACCAAACTTTTCGTAGACTTAAACAACATGAATTATTAGGATTTCAGCTCACTTCATATTTAGACCTTTGCACAATCATGTTATGCAATATAAACTCTAACTTTTTTTAGGATTTCAAGGTTGCTAGTGCAGTATAAAGTCAATCATTCTGTCTTCTTAGGCTGCTTGTATGATTGTATATTGTGCAAGTGTAAGCTCTAAATGTGAATAAATGTCAGATGCAAACATTAACACTTCCAAGATGTAAAGCCAAAAAATATGACAGTTTGGGAAGTCGTTGATGGTCGTCTCAAAGTCTGTGACATCCTTTACCTCTCGCACATTTGGTTTAAAAAATAATTGTTCTTATTTGAGTCATTCTCATTTGATTTTTCTATGACTAATCGTGAAAAGATAACTTTGAATTTTTGAAGATGAAACCCCTGATCTTAATCAAGAGTCTCTTTGGCAAGTTTAGTTGCACAATACATAATTAACTATGGGGGCTTACCCCTATGGAGAATTAAAAACTCAGATAATATAAACCCTATCTAATATTTATATTAGATAGGAGGATCATTGGTCATAAATTTCACAAACTAAACAGTTGTCATAGATTTTTTAGTTTAAATGATCGAGTCTACTAACAAGTGCTGTGCATATCTTTCGGGGTGATGTATTACTTGTGGTACCGTGCAAAACCATCTAAAATGTCAAATAGATGAGATCCATTTGATCTTATATTTTTTTTAGAATAAAAAATATTATTTTCAAAATTAAAATTATAAAGTATATTAAACTAAATTATTTTTGAAAAGTTGACCGACAATATAAAATGTTGGCCACACATCTTTGTTATCTATTATAGTCCATTACTATCAATGATTCCTATTACTGATCGCCAATCACCCTATATGTTACTAGCGCACATTATCAACTACCAGACATTCGTCATCCACCACATAACATCATTAGCTATTGAATTTTATCTGAGACACCATGTCCTCTAAACACAAAAAAAGAAATTTATGCATTTATACTATATTTATGTAAATATCTAAACTTATTTTTTAATACTTTACATTCATTTTTAAGTCTCACTTTTTACGATTTTCATGTATTTACATATCTAACACAACTTCAATTTTTGCATTTGGAAAATTCATTAGCCGAACAATAGAAGATCTCAAAATACAGCAAAGCCGCATATTTTCACTGAGAACCGCTGCTGGCCTCGGCCGGCTCGTTTCGATATTCTCCCTACTCCGGCCATCATTTAGGGCTTCGCCGAATACAGCAAAGCCGCATATTTTCACTGAGAAGCGCTTGTCGGCCGCCGGAGATGAGCGGCGCGCGGCTTTGTTCGGTCCTCGTTGAGCTAGGTATGGGCGGCCATGGTTCTTTCGAGCCGGACAGTTTTGAGTGGCCATTCCAGTACGAAGAGGCTGCCCCAGTGCTCGATTGGATATGCTCTAGTCTTCGCCCCTCTAATGTTCTCTCCCCTTCAGAGGTCTCTCAGTAAGTTTATCCTTTAGTTTTCGTTGATTTCAATTTTCTGTTTCTTTCTTCGATTGCTCTGATGCTTGTTGCTTGATCCGGTTCACAGGTACAAGCAATTAGTAAACGAGGGAAAGCTACTCGAGGTGCATTGCCTTCTATTTTTCTAAATATTTTTCTGTTTCTGTCATAGTGTGGTGGTGGGAGGGTTTCGTTTCATTGGCAGCGGGAGAACATAATGTCATATCAACTGCGTCTAACTTCAGAAAGTTTGTATCTGGTGCCATTGTTGAATTTTCATATGGCAATTCGATGGACGCCGCAGTTGGTTGTTGCTGATTACTGCTTCTGAAGTGAGAAATACCTAAAATGTCACTTCAAAGGTCCGACAATCGATGGAAGAAAACTTGCACTAAAGATAGCGCAAGATTTTTTGATCGATGCAAGTATGATGATGATTTTCATGACAACATTCTTCCTTTCTAATATTTGAAAATTCCCATGGTTTGCTTTTACATAGGAGGGAATTGAAGAAAGGGGCACTTTGAGAGTAGAAATAAGTAATCGATATTTTAGTGCTATTCAAATAATAGGGATAGAGATGGTAGAGATTGGGAGAGAAAAAATAGGGGGGGAAAGAAATCTAGCTGGTTAGCGGGGAGAAAATAGGACGGAAGAGGCAGAATAGCATGGAGGAGTATTTTCAAAATTTTAATCCGATTGTTCAATCATCAATTGCAATCTATAAAATTCTTATTTATAAATACAGTTTAGATTCAGTAAATTTAATTATTTTCTAAAATTTATAATAAATATAATCTTAATATGAAATAATTTATGATTGGTATAAATGATGGATTGATTAAAATTTTTTGAATATTCTAAAAATAGTATTCTTCTACTGCATCAAATGTGCTCATTGCCAAAGTGCCATATTCTCTTCCTATAGAATGCCAAAAATAAGGTATTTTGGGATGCTTGAATTGTGCAATAAGACAGTTGTTTTGTTGTAACTTGTAAGGTTGAGTGATGTGTAGGTAGTTAAAAACCTTAAATTTTTTTTGTAAAATAATGGGGTCGTTGATTAGGACATAATTTACTAATTTTAAGTCAAGTTTCAAGGGTGCCATGCAATAAGTGACTATATTGGTGAGTTATGATTAATATTTTAGAATTGCAATTAAGTTGATTAAGTTGTAAAAGATTGAGTAGGGATGTAACTAAAGTCAGCCTAGTTCTTGACCTTGGATTGATAAAAAACTAGAGTTGAGCTCATAAAGCTAATGAGTGAAGTTAGGAGCCAACCATTTATAAAAAGATGCACTCAAGTTCTACCTCCAAAAATTGAAATTTAAGAGTTTTTAAATCTAAAAACATAGAAAACCTAGAAACTCATGTTCGTTATTTCTATCCCTTGCTTCTCAATTTCAAATTTTTTTTTCTTGATATCTTGAGAAGACAAGCCAACTCCTATATTGGCTTTGCGAGTTCAAGCTTGACTTTTTGAGTTCAGCCAGAATCAAATTGGAGGCGGCTTGAACTTGAATCAACTTGTTTTGCACCTTTTTGATTAGAAAATCTTGTAACAAAAATGTCTGATTATTCAATAAGGCTTTTCATGAATTAGGAGTTATGTGAAAGAATGATAATATCACGAAGGATAAATGGTAATGATTACACGAGAGAGTGTGAGGAGGATATGAAGATAGTCAAAGTAGGCTCTCTTGTGGTTTTGGCATGTACTAAGGATGGTAGAAAAAGTACTTCTAATAGAGGAGAACTAAATTATTAATGTTAGATGAATCAGGGGAAAAAAGGGGCTTTCTAATGTTAACATGACTTGCACTTGAGATAGAATTACCATCTTGAGCAGTACCAATTCGGTTTATTGGAGAAGGATCAATAAAGTTGATCATGAATAGTTGGATAATTCTATCTATCATGACGGTGATAATATGCGACAATTTTGCAATTTTTCTGCTTTTACATGGAGCTATTAGTGTTACCTTGCAGATAGTTTATTCTTATTCATAATTGACATGAACTTCTACTCCGAGAGACACTAAATCCCATAAACTTAATGAGTGGTCATGAATCAATGCCCGAGTAAATGGTTTCTCAAAATAATTTTGAACATAAGTATTATAGATAGAAATAAAAAAGACAAAAAAGTTTATGAATATCTTTGCAAAAAACTATGTACACGTGACCTTACTTTTTGACTACATATTCAAGAATTTCTCATGTTGGTTTAGAGATATTTTTCGTTTTATTTGAGCCAGATTGGATATGAGCTTTTGGTGCACCTTTTGATATGCTTATGTAATGAATGAACAAGATAAATACTTCATGTAGTTATTTTTGCTAGGTTTCTTGTGCGATTCCTGATATTGTACAACGGACTAGGGATGGGGAAGAATTTGGGAGTGTATCGATAAAAATACTATGATATTATATCATAAATGAAGAATGGAAAATTGGTTTTGCCATTGAATGTTATTGACAAGAATAAATGGTGAAGAAGTCACAATGATGATACAATAAAGTTAGAACTGTTCTAATAGCAGTAACTAATTGATTCATTTCGTTGTATGCATCTATGGCTGTCCTCAAATTTCTATTTTCAACTAAGATGCCAACAATTAAAAGCTACATATGTTGTTCCATTGAAAGTTGCGTATTAATGAAAAAATACTAATTCTAATGGAACAACATATGTAGCTTTTAATTGTTAACTTGTTAGTTGAAAATAGAAAAATTCCAGCGCACTCATGATGTGCTGCTAGGATTAGGATATATTGGTGCAAGTATTTGTACGAACCATGTTTACCTTTGCACCAAACCACTAGGATGAAGGATAAACAGTACACTTTCTCATTTTAATTTAAGGTTCATGATCCAAGTCTGATATTGCAAAGTTTAATGTCCCACGAGATATTTCTCTTTCGCATAATTTTGTCTCATTAATGGAAGTTTTATCTTCTCGTGTATTTTGGTGGACATGCTTTTGCTTTTTCATCATTTTCTTAACTTTTGGAAAAAAAAAAACTTTGCAGGGAGAAGATTTAGATTCTGCCTTTGATAGCATATCTGCTTTTTCAAGCAGGAGAGACAACCAGGAAGCATTGTTTGGAACCGAAGAAAGACTAATTGATATTAGGTGATGATCTTTCTTTTACTGGCTTCCTTTTATGTCCTGATGTCTAAGAAGACTGTAGGCATGGATTGTGCAGTAAGGTGCATAAGAACTTTCTTTAACACTATCATACATTTCTAGATGCTGTATCAGCTGAATTATTATGAGAAATATCCTCACAATTGGTGTTTTATGCTAAACTGAAAAGACTATATTACTTGTGGCAACTCTGGCTTTCATAAGCTATTTTTACACAATATATATATATATTTGATAATTTATGGCTTCCTCGTATGCTATATGGCATATGAAGTTTGTTTCTCTGAAGCTTCATGCTTTATGAGCTGCTTTTAGAAGGATTTGTCGGCCCAACTGTCATGATCAATTCATGTAATATTAGTTTGGAAGATTTACATTCATACCACTTAATTCCTATGTATTTACACATCTGATACGTAAACTTCAATTTTTACCTATTTGCCATCTTACCTATGCTTGAAAAGGTGTATTTCACTTTTTTAAAGTTAAAATCGTTTTAGTTTTGGTGTGATATGAAATGTTTGGATGGTATAAATGTAAAAAGTAAAGTTTAGGTGTTAGATAAGTAAATACATCGGAATTGGGTGGTATGTATGTAAATTCTCCTATTAGTTTTAGGGGTGTGGTTAGATATGGGATGCTGAGCCGGACCTTATGCCTGAAGGCATTGGCTTATGACTTGGAAGTTTTTGTAGCTGCTATTAGTTGTCACCTAGCAGGAATTTTGATATCGAGGACAGTCCTGATATACTTGTTTAGAATATTTGTTAAATTGATAGCTAAGTATTTTGCAAATTTGATTTCTGATTTCTATATCAAGAGTTTCCTACTGCTTCTAATAGACACGTTTGACCATGTCAAAGAACTTCCTTTGAAAACAGTAGAAATTGTAAATATTGATTTTGCCTTTTCTGATGATGGATTTTCTAGGCCTCTATTTAGTGCAGATTTGATCTGATGCTAAAAAAATATGTCGAGAGGAATTTTAAATAATAACTGAATTTAAATTTGTTTTAGTCGGTTCGAAGGGAAGCGCCAATCTCAATTATTTCGTTTAAGGAAACGGATGCCTCTTTCGAACCGTAGGAATCCAGAAGAGCAGAAGAGCTAGAGACTGAGAGATAGTGAGCGTGAGATGGGAAAGAAGAGGAAGAAGTTGCTGTGTGAAGAAGAGGGGCATCATGTACTTCTCATGTCAGGGATTTTGAAGCTCTTGTAGGAAGTTGAGGTTGAGGGCTTCATGTGAGAAGTAGAAGGATAAGGCAAGCGAGATTAGTGATTTTCGGGAAAGATCTCTTGTGTCTTGGTCGATCAGTAGAAGCAGAGGAGGGTGATCACTTGCAGGAGATGATGAAGAAGAGGAAGGCGGAGGGAGGAGTTCATCCTTGCATGTACTGTATTGGAGTCGAGCTAAACTCTAAAGAAGTAGGGGAGGCGGCTCGTGCGAATGTGGGATAGGAGGTGAAACTCTTAAAAATACCCGCTTTTCTTATCATATGCATATTGAAAGTTAAAATATATTGAAAATGAAAATAAATGAAACAGGAAAGGGTAAATGGTTGTTCAATGACGAAATGAATATAATAAAAAAATAAAAAGTAATGTATTAAGTTACTCTTTCGTAGTACTAGCTGAGGATGCTATTGTACTCGCACATGAAAAATGAAATGAAAATGGTAAATATGTACCTTCAGGTGCAAATTTTTGAGGGTAACTATGTGGATAATTTTTTGAGAATATATTTAATTATGACGGTGATCCCGATTCACCTTCTTAAAAAGGCTAAAAAAGTAAATACTTAAAATGAAATAAGTCTACTTAACTTAAAATGAAAGCTTATTATTTGATTAATTAATAAATCATATCTCTTTGGGACATTCATGCATAGAATTTACATATATGAACAATAAAATTGTAATTGTTCACTAAGTGATGGTAAATTTACTATTGAAATTAATTATTTTTTTCAGGCAAAAATCGAGATTGATATGTTTGACAGGAGAGAGTTGATTTACTTAAGGAGGACCACTGATGCTAGATAGTAGATTATTTTTTATAATTTTAATTTCTTATATTATTTATTTCAGAGTAATGTTGTACTGTTGCTGGTTGAATTGCGAAACTATTTATTTTCAGACTATGTTGTTGTTTTGGTTGAATTTGATTGTTTTGTGTATTTTGTGGGTTTTTTTGGTGGCTCTTTTGACTTTAAGAATTATGATGTTTTATTGTATAAAAAAAGAAAAATGTTAATACCGTTCGACTGTGGTTCTTAACTCGATTAATTTTAAACTATGAGGTCGAGCCATGATGAAAGTGGAATCAGAGCATTTAAGTTTGAATAATGATAGATTGATTAAATTAATTGAAATACAATATAAATAAATGATTAAATTGTGTTTAATTTTATTCTTTGTTATGTTATTTCGAAAATATGAATAATCAAGAGGAAGTTAAAGAGAGTAACATTAGGACTCTTGTACTTCCGAATATCTCAGTGAACACTGCTGATTTTGCAAAGATGATGACTGTAGTGACCCATATGATTAATAACTCTTAGTCCCAGACCAGTTCTAGTGGAGAGGCTAGATGTACAAATATTTGAATTTGTTTCAGGATATGAGACTACGTATTTTTTCAGGAGGATGAAGTCTAATGGAGGTTTAGAACCGGTTGATGAGAGGGAGAAGATTATAGTTGAGTTGTCTTGTCCATCAGAGAGGAGGGTGATACTTTCCACTTTTGCTTTTAAGGGCGAACTTGAGAGATAGTGGCAAGGGCAGTTGTAGTAGAAGTTTGGAGGTAGAACCAACCACTTGGTGTAGTGGGAGGAGTTTGTGGCAACCTTCAGAGAATGGTTCTTAGTGCTGTCAGCCAAGAGACAGATGCAGGATAACTTTATCATGCTGGTGCAGGGCGATCATTCGATCATACAGTACAAGACAAGCTTTTTCAATGTAAGCACCTCGGTTCCAAATGCCGCGGATAAGTGTCATAGATTTTTATTTGGGCTGAAGAATATGATTATATAGCCTCTGATTCCTCTTGGGGTCGATATTACTTAGTTTTGGTGGAGAGGACAGAAGGATTGAACTAGATTCACAGGCTATCTAGAGGAGAAAGGCAGAGGGATCCAAGTTTCTTTAAGGCCCTCAAGGAAGGCAGTAATTCTACTTAGGAATTATGGTGTTAAGATGGCCAAATTCAACAGTATTAGCAGCCAAATTGATGCCAAGAAGTCTGAAAAGTGTGGTAGGTTTCACACGGTGATTGTCTTTTTGACCCAACAGGTGTTTTTGGTGTCACCAACTAGGACACGACTATGAATTATCCTAGTTTGAGGCAGAGAGCTCTAACAGATATTTAGGGCAGTGTTGTACCATCTCAGAGAAGCTTTAGTAGCTCGAGGGCAATTGAGTCCATTGAATCAATGCAAATTCAAGGTTGGGCCTAATAAAATGTTCAACAGAGTGTTTGTGCACTTTCGTAGTAAGAAACTAAGAATTCCCTTGTTGTTATCACATTTGTTTTACATTTAAGGAATTATAATCAAATGCAATTTTAATTATAATAAAATTTAAGTCATTCAAAATATTTTGTAAGAACCTGAATCCTTTAATAAGTCAACCCTAAATGTTTAGTGCAATTAGTTTAATGTAATTTGTATCATATATCTTCAAAATAGACCAATAAGAATATTATTTGATACGGGAGCATCATATTTTCTTATAGCCGAAGAATTAGTTAGCACCTTAATGCCTGTAATATTATACATTAGAATGCCAAATATCATTTCTATAGAGGTGAAATTAATAATTGCTGAAAAAGATTTTGATGCACAACTAATTTTATTACCCTTGGTAGAGTTTGAGGCAATTTTAGTCATGGATTGGTTGTTTAAAAATTTTATCACAATTGATTACAATAAAAAAACTGTTAATATAACTGTACCTGGGGCGGTAGAAGTCAAATTTGACGGTGATAGAGGGTTAGTTTCGATGATAGTCACATATTTGAAGGCCTTTAAATTATTAAAATAGTGAAATTCAGGGTTTTCTAGCTCACATGAATGATATAATAAAGTAGTGATTGAATGATATTCCACCGGTGAAGGAGTATCTAGAAGTTTTTGTTGATGATTTATCATGACTACCACCAATGAGGGAAATAGATTTTACTATTGAGCTATTGTCAGTTTTGAGCCAATATCCAAAACATCATACAAAATGTTAGTTAAGGAGTTGTATGATTTGAAAAGTCAGTTGTAGGAATCACTATACAAAGGGGCTCATTAGACCTAACATCTTACATCGGGGAGTTGCAGCGCTATTTGTGAAGAAGAAAGATGTGAGCTTCAAAATGTGCATTGACTACAGGGAGTTAAATAAGCTCACAATTAAAAATAAATATCCACTGTTGAGGATTGATAACTTGTTTGTTGCATCATTTCTCTATTCGGAAGTGGAAATGAGAGGAGATTGCTATGAACTTTGTGATGGGATTGCCTAGGCCACGGTCGTATGCTCGTCGAGTAATTGTTGACATATTGACTAAGTCAGTCCATTTCTTGTTCATTAGACAATCATATCTTGTTGAGAAATTTTAGCCAAATTTTATGTAGATCAAATTGTAAAGTTGCGTGGAGTGTCAGTTTATTTTTTCATACAAAGATGCCATATATATTTTTTAAATTATGGAAAAAGATTCATGAGACTTGGGGCACAAGATTGACTTTTAGTACAACTTTTCTCCCTTAGACATATGACAAGTCAGGAAAGCATTCAAACTTTGGAGGATCTACTAAGGTTATGTGTTCTCGATTTTGGTGGAGGATGAGAATCACAACCCTTGGTAGCTTACAATCACACTAATATGGGACGACTCCATATGTTTTATGGAAGAAAATGCATAACACGATTTTGTCGGGCTGAAATAGTTGAAAGAAATGCCATTGGACTTGACTTGATTGATGATGCTATGAAAAATATTAGGCTGATCAGAGACTTAATAAGGACAAATACAAAATAGCTAAAAAAAATTGTGATGCTAAGCACAAACTTGTTGAATTTGAAGTTTGAGAATTTGTTTTTATTAAAATCAGTTCTTTGAGGGGCGTGTAAAGTTTTGTAAAGACAAAAAAAATTGAGCCCTAAATATGTAGGTTCATATGAGATTGTGGAGAGGATTGGACAGGTGCCTTATAAATTGGCTTTACTTGCTCATATGCAAAGATTACACAATGTTTTCACTTAGGAGGTATGTTGCTGATGAGTCTAATAGAATTGTTGTAGATTTAGTGGAGACACAACCTAATTTACATATGTAGAAGAATCCGAGAGGTTACTGGACTTTGAAGTTAAAAAAGCTACGGAGTAGTGAGATTCCATTTTTAAAGATTCTATAAAAGGATGAATAAGAAAATGATGCTATTTGGGAAAAGGGTCTCACATATGCAAGTAAGATATTCACAACATTTTAATTGAGGTATGTTTGCTTTATATTAAAATTTTCAAATTTCAAGGACGAAACTTTTAAGAGGAGAGATTGTAATAACTTAATTTCAAATAATAATAATAATAATAATAATAATAATAATAATAATAATAAATAAATAAATAAATTTGTTTGGGTTGTTTCTAAGGGAAGCGTCTATTTTGATTATTTCATTTAAGGAAAAGAATGCCTCTTTCGAATAGTTGGAATCCAGAAAAGCAGTAGAGACAATGAGCAAGAGACGGTGAAGAAGGAGAAGAGGAAGATGTAGCTGTTTGAAGAAGAGAGGGTCATGTAATTTTTATAATAGAGATTTCAATGCTCTTGTAGGAAGTCTACGCTAAGAGCTTCATGTGAAAAGTAGAAGGAGAAGATGGCGAGGGAGATCACTGATTTTCGGGAAAGAACTCTCATGCCCTAGCCGATCGATGGAAGCAGAGGATGAGTACCTCTTGCAAGAGACAAAGAAGAGGAAGGAGAGGAGAGGAGAAGAGAAGGAGGGAGGAGTTCGACCTCACGCGTGCTATGCTGGAGTTGAGCCGAGCTCGAAGGAAGAAAAGGGGAGATGTCTGAGCGTGTGAGAGATAGAAATGACAAATCATGTGCATTCTTGAGGTGTAGTCAAATGATTTAATTAAGGTATATGTTAAGGTTTAGTATATTAATTCATGAATTTAAAATGCATGTTTATTTATGAAATGTTAATAATAAGTTTAATTAAATAAAAAAATTGAAGGATGACAAATCCTTGGGACAAATCTTTGGGATTTGACGAAGAAGGTGAAGAATTTTAAGTAAAAGAGGTTAGTATTTCAATCATAAATTCTTTTATAGTTAAATTACTGTCTATTGTTAAATATTAATTTTGGAAAGTTATGAGTTTAATTTAAGTGTTTTGATTGAAAAAAATGGAGAGATTGTATGGTGATTATGTGAGCGAGGAGTACTATAGAGGGATTTTGAAAGGTTCAACAAGTGTTAATTAAAGAATAAGAGAAAGGCATTCATGGGTCCAAGTGAGTATTCACTTTTTTATTTGTAATAAATCATTGTTTATTTAAAAAGGACTTGATTATTATCTTAAAAGTACCTGCATTTCTTATTATTTATATTTTAAAAGTTAAAAGGATTTTTGAAATAAAAATAAATTAAATGGGAAAGGGTAAATGGTTTGTTCAATTATTTTAAATGGATATAATATAAATAAAATGAAATACTTACTATTAAGTCAATCGGGCTTTACCCTCTTATGGTACTAGTTGGGGACGCTATTATATCCGTGCATAAAAAACAAAAATTAAAATTATAAAGATGAATCTTCGGGTGCAAAATATTGAGGGTACCTACAAGTACAAATTTGCGAGGGTACCTACAAATACAATTTTTTGAAGATATCTTTGAGTATGACAGTGATCTTGATATGATTACTCACATTTCTTTAGGACATTACTGCTTAACATTTGTATATTGATTTAATGCATAATAAGATTGTAATTGCTCACTAAGTGGTGGTAAAATTGTTGTTAAAATTGATTTTTCCTTTCAGGCAAAATTCTAGATTAATATGTCTGACATGAGAGTTATTTGATAGGAGTTTGACTACTAATACTAAGTATTGGATTGCTTGTTATGGTTCTAATTTCTTGTACTATTATTTTGAGTAATGTTGCCCTTTTGTTGGTTGGATTGCGACACTGTTTTACTTTCAAACTATTTTACTGCTTTGGTTGAATTTGATTATTATTTAGTGTATTTTGTGGTTTTTCCTTGCGGTTTTTTTTATTATTAGATGTTATGATGGTTGATTGCATAAAAAAAGAGAAATGTTAATATCGTTCGATCATAATTCCTGACTTTGTTAATTCTAAGTTATTACTCTACGTCGTGACAATTTTAATGTGCAGTTTGTGCTATGAAGCAGGAGTATACAACAAAAAAACATAAAATTTAATTAGTAACAACAATTAGTGATAGAGATTGGATATATCCTAAACTACATGAAAAATCTTGATCTACGTTTCAAAATTAAGAAGAAATAGAGATCTTGAAAGCCATGCAATTGATTGAGACCTTGTGGTTTAGTAAGAAACCAAAAATGTGATAAATTTGAATCAAAATAACCACACTTCAGGACCAATCACAAATTAAAGTAAGAAATAGAGAGAGAAAGAATAAGAAAAGAAATATAAAAGTCAGTCTTAAGTTTGTACAAAAAGATTAGCCCTCTCAGAGTAGTTTCAAGTTGTACACTTGATCATGGAACATTGTTCCAAATACTTTTTTCTTGCCTATTTAATTTAAGTTTTTGGGAGTGTATTATTTTTTATTTTTATCTAGGCTTATTCTATATGAGAAATGGCTTTTAACATGCTGACTTTATCTTTTTTGTGAGTTATTTATTTTTGTTAAACATTGGACTATTTTGTCAGAGAGTCAAGGTCAGCCTATAAAGAAGATGCACTAGATATGCAGAAGCAGCTTGAAAGACAGAAATATCAGTTCTCTATGCTAGCTGGTCAAGCTTCATCTCTCATCCAGGGGAAAAGGGCTCGCATGGCTGCCATAGCTACAGTCAACGGGCAACTCACAGCATTGGACGAGAAGCTTTCTGCTCGAAATTTAGAGGTAAGCTCTTAAAGTGCAGGGATTTTTCAATAAATTTCCTTAACATGTAGCTTTTTTTCAATGATGAGCATTTTTATGTGAAATTTTGTGTATGCATTGGTTCATATATTGAAAGAGTGGAATTAATCAGCTTCGTCTCCCTGAACTATGAGTTTCTTTGTTTTTGAACCTTAGATTTGTTAGTTGGTAATCAACCATTTTACTTATTGTCTGAAAAGACCATATTGCTAGTGACAAAATGTATCAATTTTATCTGTTGCAAGTATACTGATATGTGACTAGCTCATCATCTTCATTTCCAACACTATCATTGTCAAAGTCTCTTGTAATCTATCTTTCATTAATTTGTAGGCGTCTAGTAGCATTTTTTTTTTTGATTCTTCTTGTTGACATCTAGCATGGTATATTTTATCAGCGAAGTGTTTCGAAATTTTGCACGGTGACATCATAGGAATCCATCAAATAGAAAATTAACATGTAACGAAACAATTGTGGTAAAATGGCATAGAATCTCACCTAAAAGTCTCTTTTTTATCTAGATTCTCATTTAGAAGGCCCATTTTTCATTAATATATTTCATCACTCAAAAGCATAAAATGTAGTATAAATATTATGAACAATGCATGTACCTAGTCTATACTATTTGTAGGACTACACGATAAATGTTAGGCTTTTCTTCTTATGCTGTAAAAAACATTTTTATACGTATGATTAAGGAGTGCATGGTCTTAAACTCAGTAGTTGTATCGAAGTTTTAAAAGTTTTGAATTTTTTTTTCTAAAGCAATTCCATAGACTAATTTTTTCTTTTATTTTAAGATGAATACAGTTCTGGGAAAGATTGCTACAACTGCACAAGAATTGGCGCACTATCATAAAGGGGACGGTACATATTTTTTTTGCTTATCATATCTCTGGAAGCTTAAAATAATTGTATGGACACTTTTTTTTTTGAATGTTGGCTTTTTATCTTTGCAATTTTAGCCAATCGTCCTTCCGTTGTCGTCAGCATAGGCTGCTCTTGCAATTGTATGGACCGTTGTGTTTTTGTTCTCACGACTGCTTTTGTGTTCATCATGCAGAGAACACAATTTACCTAGCGTATTCTGATTTCCATTCCTATTTAATTGGAGATCTGGCTTGTGGCAAGGAACTAAACCAGTGGTTTTCTAAACAATTTGATAAGGTACTTAATTTTATAATTTATTACTAAAGTATTGATTGCCTCAACTTGCACTGGAACATTGGTCTGCGGTATAAAGACTAGGGGCATGTACATTAATATAACCCAATTCTTATGTATTTACACATCAAACTCTACAAATCTTCCTTGTCATGTCATGAAATGCACATTTTCAACTACAGGTGAGGTGCCATATATGTAAAAATTGAAGTTTAGGTGTTAGATATTTAAATACATAAGAATTGAGTGTTATGCATGTAAACATGTAAATTATGCATGTAAATCTTCCTAAAGTTTATTGTTTTTCTGGTGTCAAGGCCTTTCATTGTTTTTTCTCATTCACTGTTGTTATATAATTATCTCATGTACTCATTGTTTCCTTTTTATTCACAGTTGTTATATTAATTTCTTGTCTTCATGTGTTCGCAATATTTTGTTCTCTGGTAATGAAACTTGTAGTTAGTCCATTACAAAGTGGTTCCTGTTTCATTTTTGTAGTTTCACTGATAACCTGCCCTTTCTCAGGAATTAGAATTCTTTTGGTTTTGAAATTTTAGTATGGCACCGATAGCTACATAGTCACACTATCATAGTTTTCTTCTTTGTTTAGGATTTTTTTTTGTTTCACTTATTTGCTGGCTCACAACATATTTTTCTTAATAGGTTGATTTTATTATTGTTCTAATTTTATTATTTTTTTGACCAAATAATTTTATTGTTCTAAATAAGCAGATGAGAAATTTAGGGTCTGTTTGAGGCAGCTGCAGCTTATCCAACTTTTGCTGATAAGTAGCTTATCCTGATAATCTGCTGATGAACAGCTGATTCAGATAAGCTGGCCGACTGTTTGATTTATGCGTTTGGAAAATAATTGATTTGCAGCTGTTTGTGGATAAATGATCATTCTGCCCCTGAACTTAATAAGCTGTTTGGTTTTTGCTGTTTCGAAACAGTTGATCTACAGTTGTTGGTGGAAAAATGATCATTTTAGCCACGCGCAGTGAAGCTGTTTGCAACAATAATATAATAAGAACACATTCAATATACTAAAATCTAAAAAAATAAAATTAACCAGTTTATTCTAGCATTCCTTGGCCTACAAATTTACAAATAATCGTATCTCACAAAATTGGAATTTACTAGTGATAAGCCACATATGCGCTCAATTTAGATATTGTTAGTGTTTCTTGAGTGGAGCAATAGAAAGCTTACCAAAACTCCACATGTAAAGGCGATACTTCTCCCTGCTGCTCAAATCTTTCGGGTTGAAGTTACGTCCACTTCCATCTCGAGCAGTAGCCGAAAGCGAAATGCCAAACTACCGCTGAACGGAATATGTTTCACGAGAAGAGCTAAAAGACTGATCCATCATCAAAGTAGAGGACGGAGCGTCTGGATTTGGTGGATGAGAGCGACTGAGGATGTGTAGGAGGGGGCCGCAGGCTTCGACTGGATTTCGGCGACAGAGAGCGACGAAGGGCCACGGGCTTCGACTGGCTTTCGGCGACGGAGAGCGACGAAGGGCCGCGGGCTTCGTAAAGAGGGCGAGGTAGGTTTTGTGAGCGAGAGGGGTAGAGGCGTAAAAGAAGTGAAATAAGCTCCAGACAAACACGAATCGCAGATATAACCCTGCGATTCGCGCGTAAGAGAAAATATAAAACGTAGTTTTGATATAATCTATAAAACGTGCAAAACAAATGGGTAGACGTCGTTTTCGAAAACGTCGCCGCACTTATAAGCCGCCACAAACAGACCCTTAGTTGTTTTGTTCTCCTGCTTTCTTTGCCTTCATTTTTTTTGCTTTCTGTTGTCTTAATTTATTATTCATGTTAACATAGAGTCCCAAGATTTGTTAAAAAAAGCTTAGAATTTGCCATGAACTTGATCCTTCTTTTTCCTGATAGTTTTGCTATTCTCACTTGATGACCACCTCTACTATTCAAAGCTATTTTGAATCTTTGACATAAAATGCTTATATGGTGTAATCATTAAATGAGTTGGCACAATTGTGAGTTTGCAGAACTTTGCTCTTTATCGTTCATTTAAATAAAATATGAACCATTTCTTTGTTTGGCGTGCAAAACTTTGTTTTTATAGGAATACTTGCAACTCAAGAGCTTAAGTTCAATATCTTTACATCAACTAGAATTTTTACCCTGCCCCATGTGCTTTATTCTCTTTTGGCTTTTATTTTGGTAATTTAACTCCTATACTGCTCCAATGTCACGACTTGACTCGAGGCTTGAAATTAATCAAGACGATAACGGACGGTCGGATGGTGGAAATAAATTCTCTAATATTCTATTTCTATCACAAGCAGTTTAATATTTAAATAATACGTGAAAAAACCACTAGAGAAAACAATTCAAATTAACAAGTTGAAATTTGTACATTTCCGTTTGTTGTTGTCGTATTCTATACACATTTGATCATATTTTATTCATCTTATTCAAATGCTTAAATTATTAAAAGAATATTAAATCAACATATTGATTTATATAAAGATATTCTAGGAGCACTCACACTTCTAAACCATAATAATCCAAGAAAAAAAATACAATACGCATACTGGTCTTTTATATCTTTATAAGAAATCTTTTAATATGCTAAAATTTCAAATTTTTATAAGATATTTCATATACACTAATTTATATATTAATGATTTTTTTCTAAATGAACATGCATTAATCTGGACATTTATAGATAAAGTGTGCAATAATGTGCAAGAAAAGATAAAATATAAGAAGTTATAATATAAAAATTGATTTCAATGTGAAAACTTAGAAAACTGGGAAAAATATCATATGACCCGCAGGGAGTCTAAAAGAAAAATCCGTGACTATAAAAAACCTGCTTTTATTGATCTTTATGATAGATTAGATACTAAGGAGGGTGAAATTATATGCATAAACTAGTCAAATAAATAGAAATGAAAAATAAAGGTTTAACACAAGTAAAGTGTATTAAAGATGAAAATCAAAAAGTACTTTTCTTTGAAAAAAATAATCAACATAGGTGGGTTAGTTATTTTGATAAACTTTTTAATGAAGTTTCTGAAAATGCGATCGACTTTAGTGATCTTAATAAGTGATCTTAATATAATATCATTAATAATAATAAAATATTTTGTTTTTATCGTCACATTAGTAAGAAAAAAGTTGAGGAGACTTTAAAGAAAACTAAGGGTAGAAAGTCTGTAGGACCTGATGATGTCTCAATTGAAGTGTGAAAATATTTAGGAGATTTGTGAGTTTTTTGGCTTACTCAACTCTTTGATGTTATTTTAAAAACTAAAAAAATGCCTGAGGAGTGGAGGAAGAGTAATTTGGTCCCCATTTTTAAGAATAAAGTGAATGCACAAGAGTGTGAATGCACAAGAGTGTGCAAAGTGTGCAAATTATAGATGAATTAAGTTGATGTGTCATACTTTAAAATTATGGGAGAGGGTAACTGAACATAGGCTAAGACATATTACAATATTTCTCATAATTAATTTGGATTTATGCCGGGTAGGTCTATCATTGAAGCTATACATTTATTGAGAGGTTTGATGAAGAAGTTCAGAGATAATAAATAGGACATACATTTGATTTTTATTGATTTAAAAAAAAAACTTACAATAAGGTTCCAAGAGATATCCTTTGAAGAGTTCTTGTGAAGAAATATGTTGATATGACTTATATTCAAGTCATTAAAGATATGTATGCTAGAGCTGCTACTTGTATTCAAACTGAAGGAGGATTGACCAAATATTTGTCTGTTTCTTTTGGATTACATCAGGGATCGACTTTTAGCCCATATCTTTTTGCTTTAGTTATGGATGATCGATCTTGACATTTACAGGAGGATGTATATTGGTGTATGCTTTTGGCTGATGTTATCCTTCTCGTGGATTAGACGAGAGAAAAAGCCCATGCAAACCTTGATTTATGGAGGTCTAGATTGGAGTTTAATGGCCTTCATTTGAGTGGAACTAGACTGAATACTTGGAATGTAATTTTAGTAGTAATAGCTCTAGTGACAAAAGTGTAACTTTGGGTGATCAAACTATTAAAATGTGTGAACGATTTAAATATCTCGGGTCTGTTGTTCAAAAATACGGTGATATAGATGAGGATGTTAATGGTAAAATTCAAGTTGGTTGGTTGAAGTGGAGGAATGCTTCGGGCCTTTTGTGTGATAGAAAAGTACCGCTTAGGAGATTGGAAAAAATTTTTTTATTACATGGTCGTGAAACCTACAATGCTGCATGGCGTTGAAGGTTGGCTTTTAAAAGAGAAGCATAATACAAAGTTAAGTGTTGTCGAGATGAGAATGATTAGGTGGATGAACGACTTTATATTTAGAGACAAAATGAGAAATGAATATATTCGTGATAGGGTTGGTGTAGCTCCAATGACGGATAAAATTAGAGAGGGTCGTCTTAGATGGGTCGTCTTAGATGGTTTGGTCATAGATGGTTTGGTCACATTAAGCGTCGACTATCTGATGATCCAATTAGTAGAGTAAATGTTTTTGATTTGACTTATGCTAGGAAATGCAGAGTTAGACCTAGGAAGACTTGGGCTTATTGTATAAGAATGATCTTAATTTATGATCTTAATTTATTAGAAAGAATTAAATGTAAATATGACACTAAATAGTATGCAATGGAGAAAAATGATTTATGTAGCCGACCCCATGTAGTGGGATTAAGACTTTGTTGTTGTTGAACATACACTAATCTTATATATGCATTTATTTTAACTTTACTTTTACTTTATATTCTTTACATACAATTCTGTCTATGTGAGGATCACCGTTAACAAAAGCTTAAACAACCTTGATTGATATTGTCTCGTTGTCTCCCGTCGGCACATTGGTTAGCGATCTGCACATCGTAATTGTCTAGGGTGGGAAGACCCCTTAGTGGTTCCTAACCGATATTATCTCATAAGCACAAGAGTTAACAATGTAAACATCACGGTTGACTGAGAATGTAAGCTCTGGTCTACTCACCCCTA